GGTGTCGAAGTACGCCGACCCTTGCTAATAGGTTACGAGCTGTTCGAGAAGATGCTACCAAGTTCAACAGGGAAGTGTTTGGGAATATACTTACTAGGAAGAAGGCTCTCCAACGTCGTCTCAAAGGGGTATAGTTACAACTCGAGTTAGGAGATTCAGAGAGCCTGTCGCGCTTAGAGAAGACTATACAAGCTGAGTTGGATGAAACTTGTCTTCAGGAGGAGTACTTATGGTTTCAGAAATCTAGAGAGAAGTGGGTGAAGTTTGGGGACCGTAACACGTCCTTCTTCCATGCTCAAACACTCGCGGGAAGACGGAAGAATAAGATACAGGGGTTGTTTTTACCAGATGGGTCTTGGCATACGGATCCTGCGGTCATGAAAACTGAGGCAGTCAGATTCTATAAGGAGCTTTTCTCGGGTGATAACGAGCCAGGGCCTCTGGATATGCCTACTGGAGCTCCACCTGGCTTGGGAGTTGAGGCCCAATCTGCCTTAACTGCCCCAGTCACGAAAGAAGAGGTTCACCGGGCGGTGATGAGCATGAAGTCGTTCAAGGCACCAGGGCCGGATGGGTTTCAACCGTTCTTTTTCAAACAGTATTGGCCTGTAGTGGGGGATGAACTATGGCGTACAGTGAAGGACGCCTTTTGGTTGGGGTTCTCGGACACATCGCTCTTGGAGACACAAATGGTGTTAATTCCGAAGGTAAGTCATCCGATTAGCCTCAAAGACTTTCGTCCTATAAGCTTATGCAACGTCGCTTGGAAGGTTATTTCCAAAGTCATTGTGGCTCATCTTAGACCTTTCTTGCAAGGCGTCATTGGACCTTTCTAGGGTAGCTTTATCCCTGGGAGGGGGACTCGTGACCACAGTATTATTGCTCAGGAAGCCTTCCATTTTGTTCGGAAAAACGGCTCAGGTGGGGGTTCCTTGGCCTTAAAAGTTGACCTTGAAAAGGCATATGACAGGGTCAGGTGGGAGGTTTTGGAGGCTATGATGGTGCAGTTTGGTTTCCCTCCGATCACAATTCAACTCATCATGTGGGGGTTGAAGAACTCGTCAATCTCACTACTTTGGAATGGAAGTACATTACCGTCCTTTGTTCCGTCTCGTGGCCTTCGGCTGGGAGACCCATTATCTCCATACCTATTTGTTTTCTGCATGGAACATCTAGCCCTTAGGATATCTGAGTCGCTCCAGGATGGTCATTGGAAACCGATTCAGCTATCTCTTGGGGGACTACCGCTTTCACACCTTCACTTTGCGGATGATATTTTATTGTTCTGTCAAGCTTCTGAGGACCAAGCTTGTTTGGTGGCGTCAACCTTGGAGGAGTTTTTGCGCTCATCAGGCTTGAGAGTTAATCTGACTAAGTCTAAGTTTGTGAGCTCTAGAAGGGTTTCATAGAGGAGGATAGATACGTTGGAGGGATTGCTAAGGATTAGTCATACGGCTCGGATCGAGAGTTATTTGGGTGTCCCCATGACGCATGGTCAGCCGAGGTGCGCAGATTTTTATGATGTGATGGATAAGATTCAGGGTAGAATTGAGGATTGGAAGTAAAAGCTTCTTAATAAGGCAGGGAAGTTGTGCCTGGTAAAGTCCACCATCTCCTCTATTCCTGTATATAGTATGCAATCTTTATGGCTTCCCCAAGCAGTGTGTAACAAAATTGATCAGGCGTGTCGACGTATGCTCTGGGCGAAGCCTGATAACACACGGTTTTGGTCTCCAGTGAGTTGGGAGGTTGTTACTCAACCCAGAGAGTTAGGTGGCCTTGGGGTTAGGGAGGCGCGCAGGGTGAATGTATCCCTTCTTGGGAAGTTAGTTTGGGATATGCTATCGGCTCCACAGAAGCCTTGGGTTCATCTCCTCAGCAATCTATACCTTCATGGTGACTCTATCCTGTGTGCTCAAACCAGGCGGGGTGCTTCTCCAATCTGGTCAAGTATTATTAAGACCCTACCTTCACTTCGTGAGGGATTCCAGCCTCACCTAGGGTCGGGTGCCTCATCCCTCTAGTACACGGACTGGGCAGGTACTGGGCTTTGGTGCGGGAAAGTCCCATTTGTTCACATTGCGGTCACCAACAAGACGGTCGCAGACTGCTGGGTTAGTGGAGAATGGAACTTCAATGCCTTGCACACTGTCCTCCCCTGCCGAATTGGTTCACTCGGTCCGTCAGTTGAGTGTCGTAAACTCCTCATTGGGGCTGGACCACTTTGCATGGAGGGGTGACATCTCGGGGTTATTATACAGCGTCATCTGGGTATCGCTTTCTAACCCCGGTACTGTCATCGGAGGGGGATGAAGTTTGGAAGAAGCTTTGGAAGGTAATGGTCCCCGAGAAGGTGAAGTTCTTCCTGTGGCAATGCCTTCATTTAGCCCTCCCAACGAATCAGGTTCGGGCTGATAGGAGGTTGGCCGAGTCTGGTGCATGCTCGCCCTGTTCTTGCCCTCGTGAGACCATTTTACATGCTCTTCGGGACTGCCCGTACTCGCGAGAGGTGCTGATGTCTGGCGGGTTCAGTGTGGGGTGGTCTTTCTCTGTAATGGATTGTTTTCAGTGGCTGAAGGGGATTATTTTGCACAAGGATGTTATTGAACTATCCATCACCTTGTGGTGGGTTTGGCGGTTTAGGAATAACATGTTGTTTAATGGCGAGCTTTGGCAGGTTTCGGTGATCCGTCGGAAAGTGCTGATGTCTACGGTGGAGAACTGTGTGTATAATGCTAAGAGGCGTTTAGGGGTGGAGCAAGCACTATGGAGGCCTCCGGAGCACCCGTGGGTCAAATTAAACACGGACGGGAGTTGGTTGAGTGGGACTGTTGCTATGGGGATGGGTGGCGCAATTCGTGATTGCGCCGGTATGTGGCGGGGGGGTTTTTCGCGTGGGGCTTCACAGGGGGATGCGTTACGTGCAGAGCTGTTGGCCTTGGAGGAGGGCTTATCGCTTTGTTGGGAAGGAGGATTTCAGAAAGTGAGCTGCGAATGTGATTGCCTGGGAGCTGTTACGCTGCTTCAAGATCGGTCACCGAATAGGGACTACCTGCATAAACACTATGATGTCATTCGTCGTGTTAAGAAAATGTTAGCTCGGGACTGGGTAGTGTACGTAAGCCATATCCCTCGAGAGATAAATTCAGTAGCCCATACGCTTGCTAGTTGGGGTGTTCGGAACCTAGGTTCCACTGTATTTTGGAGGAGTCCTCCAGACTTTATCCTGCTACCATTAGGGAGAGACTGTATGTCTTGAGCTTGTCTGTTTGTTTTAGTTTCATACTTTACCAAAAAAAAAAATTGTAAATAATTTAATTAAAAAATATATGTTGTTTACCTATTATTTGTGTCATTAGTGCCGACAGAAAGTAATTAACTATTGTGTGACTGACGAAATTGCTCCTCCAAAATTTTTGAAATAATATTCCTTTTTTATTTTAAAAATTAAGTTAATTTATTTTTTTTAATTTAATCTTTTATCAAAATAAATTTAAAAAAAAGTAAGTTATAGGTTAAAACCCTTATTTGGTCCCTTATAATATTTTTTTTTGTTTCAATTTAGCCTTACTTTAATTTTTGGTTTCAATTTGGTCCCCAATAATTTAAATTATTACAATTTGAGACTTCCGTCCAAATGATTTAAACTGTGTTAACTGTTAGCCACATGGATGTCAGGTGGATGCCACGTAAATGCATAGGTGGACGCCAAATTTCATGAATACACCTGGAACCAGAACAGTCCGTTCTGAAACCAGAACAGTCCGTTCTGAAACCAGAACAACCGGTTCTACTTGCATATGTTATGTGTTAATTTTGCAACTGGAACGGGCCGTTCCAAATGCAAATTTAACACACCATGAGTGCACCAGAACGGGCCATTCTGGTGTTAGAACGGGCCGTTCTGGATTCAGAACGGACCGTTCTAGAACGCCAACTTCATGCATTCATTGACGACCAAAATGCCACAATGTGATTCAAAATTTGAAAATAAAAATTCATAACATCATAAATTCAAAGACAAAAACATGGTTCAGAAACTGAAAACAAAAATTTAGAACATAACATATACTAAAAAAGTTCAAAGAAATTATTAAGAAAGGAAATCATCTGAGTAACGCTGAAGGGAAACCCTAAATCACAAAAATTCAGGTTGTACCTCCTCAAGAATAGGTTGTTATTGTTGGAGTACATCATCAATGACTTCAAGGGGAAACATCGTTTTGTTTCATCCTTGACTGTATAGTGTCAATTTAGTAGTAAGTGGTTCATTCCAGTTTGACTAACAATGAAATAAAACCTGCTACCATTGTTCTTAGTGATACATTGCATCGTCCTTAATAATACACTGTATAGCCAAAATTTTTTAGCAATTGAAATTATCAATCCCTATTGACAATATTACCAAATCTAGTGTTTGAAATGCTTTGTACTTTGGGTCTTTTTCCTTGCACGATTCACAATCGTAAAGTATAATCATTGACCATTCTGGAACCAAAACGGTCCGTTCTGGTTACACTATTGGTGTGTAAATTTTGTATCTGGAACGGCCCGTTCCAGATACAAAATTTACACAACAAGAGTGCAACCAGAAAGGACCGTTTTGGTTTCAGAATGGGCCGTTCTGATTCCAGGTATATTCATGAAATTTGGCATCCATCTACGTGACATCCACCTGGCATCCACGTGACTAATAATTAACTCCGTTTAAATCATTTAGACGAAAATACCAAATTACAATAATTTAAATTATTGGGTACCAAATTACAATAATTTAAATTATTGGGAACCAAATTACAATAATTTAAATTATTGGGAACCAAATTAAAACTAAAAATTAAAGAAACTAAATTTAAACAAAAAAAAATATTATAAAAGACTTTTAACCTATGTTATATGAAGTCTCGTGACATTCTTTGTACATGAGATAGTACAAAGTGCAGAATATATAAAATGGTCTAAGGAAAATTAAATTTGAATTTATTACACTTGAGTTCCCTTACACAATAACACAAGCATGAAGCATCTAGAAACACACTAATCTCGCAGAAGAAAATCACTCCAATTAATTCCACCTTCTGCAAGAAAGTCACAATCAATTGAAGTAAGCTCTTGAGTCCAAAAGTCTAGTGCCCCATCTTCCACACCAAAGAAACACGTGTTACTGTTACGTGCATTGTCTTCCTTATCATCTAACAAAGTTTTCCACCAATTCTCAGACCCTAATGAATCTGCACCTGCTTCACTAACACCAACTTTTGAACTATTAATGAATTTCCCTCGCAACCACGGGGATGTTTTTGACAAAGTTTGAGGTACAGGCCTTATCACTTCGTGACTTTTCACTTTGGTCTCCACCTCTTTCTGCTTTACGTTCTTTTCTTTCGTGTGAGAGAGTTCTTTACGTCGGATGTACGTGTTCCAGTAATTTTTCACATCGTTTGATGTTCTTCCCGGAAGTCTTCCTGCAATTAGGGACCATCTACATCCACAAACAATTTTTGTTTAATCAAAGGCTATTCAAAGGTTAATTACTTCTCCTTTATGTAATTTATATGAGTTTAATTTTCATATACACTTAATATATCAGTGTTAACTAAAAAAATATTTTATACAAATATAATTGTTAGATAACTACTAGAAAACTCAAACTTTTATGACAATCTATAATTAAATAATGTATACAAAATTTACTACTAGATTAATTTATCTTCTTCTTTTGCATATATCATATCTATAAAGTTTTGCTAAACATTTGACATATCATTCTTATATATAAGTATAAGTTTGACTGCATTCAATTTTCTCAAAATTTTAAAACATAATAAGTTAATATATAATTAAAAGTTAATATTTAAATCGATAAAAAGTCATATTTTATATAAAATTATTGATGGTGCATAAAGAGAGAGAGACGAGAATGAGATAAGAATGTAAAAATGATATTTATTTATTTGTTCTTCTTTTAATATTTAAAAACACTTTTAAATCATCATATACATACCAAATTGTTTTTTCTGGAAATATTAAATAATAATATAGAGTCAAACATTAATTATACAATATACTATTTGTGAGGCTTATGCAAGTGTGATTATTAATAGTATATACAGACCTGTTTCCCAAAAGCTTATGCAATCTGATCATCATATCAACTTCATCTTCACCAAAATTCCCACGCTTGATATTTGGTTTTAGGTAATTCATCCATCTCAGTCTACAACTCTTGCGGCATCTGTTCAACCCTACGTACGAAACGCAAGAAGATAAGCATGTTTATTAAGTATATATTATATAGAAAAGATTAAAACAACGATAATGAAGAGTTGTGGCGGAATTAGCAATAGATGAATAGAAACAGACCTGCTCTTTGAGGAACAAGGTGCCATTTTCCTTCTCCATAACGCTGCACGCAAGCTTTGAGAAGGTCATCTTCACATTTACTCCATGCACCTTTCCTCACTCCTGATAATGCTTCCATGAGGTCAGGTGCTTGCACTTTATCCATATACACCTCTTCAGAATTTAATATATATAGGAGTTGATATAAAGTGTACAACTACTCTTTAAAGAGTTATTATTAGAGACAAAATTATTTTAATACATATATAGAGCGTAATCCTTTAATTAAGAACATTTTTTTAGAATGTATCCAATTACTCTTATTAAAATAATTAATTAAGTAGCATTATTATATTCTGAGACACACCAACTAACAATTTATGGAGAAAACACACACCAGCTTACTGTCAAAACCACCAATCCAGGTCCTCTCTAGTGATCGAGTTCTCTCTATACATTACATTTTATTGGTCAAGGGTATGCATGTTATCTTAATTAATAACTCATGACTAGGCCAATCATAATATATAGTAGTTCAATTACGATATTAATTGACCAATATTCGAAAACATAAATCAATCTTCAACAACAATATTTTAGCAAATAGACGTGGCCGAAGAAGATCCAGATTGCAAAACTATATACCGTACAATATATTATTAAACTATCTTATAGGGAACTCTCTCTCCCTGTCTCTCTGTCTCTCTTTAGCTGTCTTTCTCTTTCTCTACGTTGAATTGACATTATATTAACAGGTGTAAAACTTTAATCCAAAATAAATATTAATTATATATAAACTGATGTATGAAGAATAAAATGAATACTTTACACTACTTTGGTCGTAGACATAACGTAAGTAACATCATCATGACGATGTAAAACTTTTTTTATTTTATTTTTGCAGTAAAAAAGAAAAACTGTGATATGAAAGCTAGAGGTTGCAACAGCCTATATTGTTGGAGACTTTTACGATCACATGCATGTCTTAACCAATTTCCCTAGCCCTGAGTGAGTCTTTGCATGGATATTTTTGCCCTTCAATAAAAACCTCTATTTTTTTATTTTTTTATTTATTATTTTTTATGTTATGTTTTGATACTACAAAATAATAATAAAAAATAAATATATACAAATAACAACGTATTTTTTTGGTTGCAAAGATGAAAAGAAAATAATCAAAAAATCAATTTCTAAAAATGAAAGTACCAAACTTTATTTCGTTTCACTTTTTTCTTCAATTCAAAGTGAAATGTTTCTCGTCCTTCATTCTTTACACCCTACTAATATATATAAATAACATGTTCAAGAAAGTGTTTGTCTTTATTTATTTTTTCTTGTATAAAATTATTAAAGTTTCGGGTGTCAAGTCAATGATAACACAAAGGATGAAAAAATATGTGGTCATTAGAAATGATAATAATGTTAGTACGTAGTTGAAACTTTCATATATCATTTATCCTGTACTTATTAACATACTTGCATCTTTACGGACAACGGGACAAACAAGATCTAAGGCTAATCTTTTATTTTATTTTTAATAAAGAATTGATATATCACAAGAAGTATTATATATAATGACATACAAAAAGTGATATTATAGATATAATATATATAAGTATAAATTTATTTAACTCATGCATACACACTTGTGTTGAATTTGAATCAACATATATATTATGTATTTTCCATAGTAATTTATATCTGCACTTTTTTTTAATAATTATGAGAATATAATTATAGATAAAAATAATTTTTAGTAACAGATATTTTGTTATTATAAAGTGTATGTGATGAAAGGACGTGGGCCAAAAGCCCAATTACTAGAACCATGATTAAGAACATACATGAGGGATTGACTAGCTTGACAGTTAGTGAGCTTTCAAGGCCTAAGCTACTCTTCACGTGGGTAACTACATCTTGAGACTTGACCTAGTAAGATTGTACCTAGAATAGGATTATTTCATTGTATTCATTTAGTATTGTATTTTGGGTGTTTTTGACCAAAGATTTTACATAGTCAAGATTGATCTTAGTTTCTTTGTCTTTTTATTTTAGAAATTATTGTATAGTTTATTTTTGACCTTGTATTATAGGTCAAATAGTTTAGGACATTTAAGGGTTAGAGAAAACCTTATGTGCATTAAAATGTAATTTAGGTTAGTATTTCATTTGAATTTGGAACATGCATGAATGATCATGCCTAGGTGCCATTCACATGCCTCAAACTCAAATGAAATGTCACTTAAATTACATTTCAAATGTCATGAGGTCCATGTAAGTATGTGAAGCAAGTGTGACCGGCCAAGAAGCTCCCAAATTTGAATTTGAAATTCAAATTTATATAGGCAGTTAGAGTTCAAGTAACCATGGTATGGTAACTTGAACTCTAGGTAACCTAACTTCTCACACAAGCTTTTCAACTCCTATATATACCCTATTCTTTTGTAGCTGACCACTTTTGATGATATTTGAGATTTTATTTAAGAAATTTCTCTCTCAAGAGTCTCTCAAACTTGGAGAACACTTTCTTCTTAAGAACTTTAATTCACAAAGGAATCCTTCCTTTATGCCTTTGGTTCCTTTCCTCTCCATGCTCCTCCGAGGTCCTTGAATAAATCAGAATGTCATCAATAAACACCACCACAAATTTATCCAAGAACGGCCGGAGGATTCTGTTCATGTAATCCATGAACACAGCTGGGGCGTTGGTCACACCAAACGGCATCACAACATACTCGTAGTGATTATACCTAGTCCTGAAAGCAGTCTTCGGTATGTCACCCTCCTTCACCCTAATCTGGTGATATCCTGACCTCAAGTCAATCTTGGAAAATACAGATGCTCCCCTCAGTTGATCCATTAAGTCATCTATCCGGGGAAGTGGATATTTGTTCTTAATGGTCAACTTATTCAACTGCCGGTAATCCACACAAAGGCGACTACCTCCATCCTTCTTCTTAACCAACAACACGGGAGCACCCCATGGCGAAACACTCGGTCGCACCAACTGCTTCTCCAATAGGTCCTCCAACTAACCTTTCAGCTCAACCAACTCAGCAGGAGCCATCCTATAGTGAGCCACCGACACTGGCCCCGCACCTGGAACCAAGTCAATGCTAAACTCCATCTCCCTAGTAGGAGGCAACCTAGGCACCTCATCCGGGAACACCTCAGCAAAATCCCGCACCACATCAATCTCAGCTATGACCCTATCGGTCTCCACACTCATGGCAGCAAGCAGAAGATAACACTCTGCCCCATCCCTCAACAATGATTCAACTTGACCAGCTGAATCAACAGCTCCTCCTCTAGCAGTAAGCATATGGTGAGTACCTCTCCACCAATGCTCAGCCTCCCCAACCAGCATGTAGACAGCATATGCCAGCCTCCTCTCCTGAGAACATCCCAACACAATGAAGATCTTCTCCAACTCACAGATCCAGTGGTCAGCTACCTCTGGGTCTGCATCTCCCTTGAACTGTGGAGGACGACATTTCTAAAACTCAGCTAGATCCCGGCTCTCTTGCGACCCCACGGGCCTTGCTGCACCAGCTGCAACTCTATCAGCGTCCATCCAAGCAAAATAAGCATTTAATTTGCTGCTGCATAACCATAACCATCATCTCCATGGCACGGGCTATCTTCTCATTAGTTCTAGTCATTGTCTACAAAAGTAACAACATCTTTAGTATACAATAACTAAACCAAACAACCATCAACAACACAACAATCAATGAAGAAATCAGCACAACAAAACAAAACAGCAAAGCAACACAACATAGAGCTCAACACAACAAAAGCCTAAAGGAACCACCCCTACAGAGTGTCCACTAGACTCGAACTGCTCTGATACCACTAAAGTGTAACGACCCGACTGGTCACTACACACAGCACAACACACCAGAACACCACACAGAAACGAACAAGTATATACATATAGTGTCTAGAATATATATATATACAAGGTCCAAATCTAGCCAGAGTTAGAGTGCACAAAATACAACCAGCATCGCTATACTAAATAGCTAAATACAACAAAATAATCAAACGCCATCTGCCAGGTGCAGACTCTCCTCAACACACCACCCTAACCCTGCTCTGCTCTCATACATAGTATGATCATCGCAGTCCAAACCACATGGAAACAACAAAGGGTAAGCTAGTGAAAAGAAACAACATACATATATAAATATATGAATAGTAAACAACTACAGCTATCAGCACATCAATCAGCTTAACAAAATCAACTTAAAATACCACATCATTCAGCAATAACAACACCGACTTAGCGGCTATATCAGCACCACATTAGTGGCTATAACAGCACCGACATATCGGCTATAACAACATCACAATAGTGGCTATAACAGCACCGACATAGCGGGTATAACAGCACCACAATAGTGGCTATAACAACACACATCTCACTTCATCAGCATACAACTCATCAACTATACAGCATAAACAACAATAAAACATACAATACGTCGTCCCACATATCAGCTCGGAGATCTCCTACAACAGTTTAGCCTTACGGCCTACAACAGCTCAGCCTTACGACCTACAACAGCTCAGCCTTACGGCCTACAACAACTCAGCTTACAACAATATCAACTTATAACACGACTAAACAGCTTACAGCACAACGTTATACATCAAATACAACTTAAAGCAGCATACAACACAGCACAACTTACAGCAATATCAACTTAAACATCCTTAATCAGCAATAGCATCTAACGACACGACATATTCATCAATTTCAGCTCAACATCATAATTTAGCATTATCAACTAGTCAGCACAACAATATTTAACAACTACAGCTGGTCTCGTCATATCTATCAGCACATTTCTACACATAACAGCTTAACATCAAATATCATGTCCGCGCCCGGCGCGCTCATGGTCGCACCCGACATGGTACAACCACCAGGGCTCAGCATGCCCGACGTAATTCCCATTGCGCCCGACGTACTAGGAGGCAGAGACCTCAAAAGGTCTCACACGCTCGGAGTGCAAACCCTCGCTCGACGCAGGGTAAGCAGAGACTTCACCAAAGTCTCACGCTCGACGCAATATAAATTGCGCCCGGCGCCACCTCTGGCAGAGACTCCCAAGGAGTCTTCACGCCCGGCAA